GTGTGTCAGGATATTCTTTCTCCATACCTATTTAATCTGTATGCTGAACATATCATTCCAGAATCTGGACTATCTGAAGAACTTGAAATCATGACTGAAGAAGGCTCATCAACAACTTTTTTTATGTAGATGCCACAACCCTGACTCCAGAATGAAGATGCCTTGAAGCTCTCCGGAAGAGGGTCAAACAACATAACCTTCAATACTATTTCATCTGTTTATTAAAAAACCAAAAATCCTCACCAGTTGACCAACAGGAAACATCATAGTAACTTTATAAAAGACTCACATTGTAAACGATTTCATTTTATTTGGATCTACAATCCATGTCCATGGTGGCAACAGTCAAGAAACTGAAGGCTGTATTGCATTGGGAAAATATAAAAAAACCTCTCCAAAGTACTACAAAGCAAGAAGGTTAGTTTACTTCCTATACACTGGAAAGTTGGACAAGAAATAAGGAAGATGAAGGAACAGATGCCTTTGAATTGTGTTACTGGTGAAGAGTACTGAATATCCTGTAGACTACCAAGAGAATAAACAAATCTGTCTTGGGGGAAGTCAAGAAGGGTGCTCCTTAGTAGCAAGGACGGTGACATTTCACCTCACCTACTTTGGGCATGTTGTCAAGAGGGACAAGATCTTGGAAAAAGACATCACACTAGGAAAAGTAGAAGGCTGGAGAATGACAGGAAGACCATCAATGAGATGACATAATGCTTCCAACAGCAGGACTGTGCATGAAGGTGAGTGTGAGGATGATAGGACAAGGTTCAGATCTGTTCATACTAGCTACACACTGAAGTTGACTTGAGGGCACCTAACAACAAGAACAGAGCTGTCTTTTTATTAAATATTGGTGTGCATACAAAATTCGTAAACAGTTGTGTTTCACACTTTCCTTAATTCACAATGTATTTCATACAATCAATTCTAATACATTGTGTCTTATAAAACTAATCACCACTGATCTAAGCCCATTATCACTACAGCCCAGAATCTGAAGATAATAGGGCCTATGTGCATGCCTGAGAAGCTGTCCTGAGTGAAAAACTACATCTGGTTTCAACCTGAACTGTAAATAATTCTTGGTGTTAGGTGTGGCTGAGTATGACTCAGCAATTTTATGAAAAACAGATCTGAACTCTGTCCTATCCTGCACCATCCTCATCGTCTCTGACACAGCTTGAGCCCACGACTGCAGCCAGTGCCAGTCCATCTCACTGAGGGTCTTGCTCTCTTTCTCTATTTCCAGCATGATGTAATTTCTCAAGGAATAGCCTCTTCTAACAACATGCACAAAGTATGTGAGTTGAAGCTTCACCATCATTGTCCGTAACGGGCACTATGGTGCTATGTGACCACTAAGACAGACTGTAGACCCAGTGCTAGAGCAGCAGGAACTTTGGGAAGGCTGTTTCTTGTTAGAGTTGGTAGAAGTAGGTGCAGGAGAGTAAAGACAAGCCTGGCTGCGTAGGAATTGCTTTCGTACTGTGGATGTTATTGATAGAAGTGTTCAAGTGTTCTCCTTTGTGAAATTATTGGAGGTCACACTCAGCCATCCTCATGCCATTTGTACTCTTTTTACAGTTCTATATGCCTTCTCTTCACCTATCAACTTTCTCACTATCCAGTACTCCCCATTTATGACAACTAGTAAATATCAACTATTTTGTGCACTACTGCTGGCAGTCATGAACACCATGGTGCAAGTAACACTGGCAGTGTTGTGGTCCTAGCTCTGAGTAACACTGTCTGTGATATGACATTGTCCATGAGGGGTAACACTGTGACGTGGCACTGACTATGAGGAGTAACACTGGCTGTGATGGTTAAGGTTCTATGTCAACTTTTCTGGGCCATGACTATTAGTGGTTTGACAATTACATAAGGATGTAATTTGGAAGTTATTTAGGGATGTAGTCATTCTCCACAATCTAGTTTTTAGAACTGAATTATGTTGATGAATTAGGAGTAGGTCTCTTCTGCACCACAACGCTCAGTGTACACACCTGTGCAGATACAGAAAGAAATAAAAGGAAGAAAAGGAAGAAAGGAAGGAAGGAAGGAAGGAAGGGAGGGAGGGAGGGAGGGAGGAAGGAAGAAAGAAACTTAGATCTACAGGAAAAATGAACACTGGAAATGAATGTGTATCATTCATTTTTTCTTAATTCCTTTAACTTATTTTTGAAACAAAATAACAACATTGTATCTGTGGTGATATTTTTTAAAAAACTCATTGCATGACTCCTAGCTGACCTTTCAGTGGGTTTTCAGAAGCTGTAAACCACACAGGATGAGACTGCTCATCTTTGTCCTGCTGGTGTATTCAAACCAAGGGCCTTCAGGTTACCAGCACAACTCCCTACAAATTATGCCATTAGTGGTGATACAGAGTAGCCAATATATGATGACAATAAATAGATGTATAATGTTTAAAGAATATGAGGTATTTAAAACAAGTGTGTACTATGTTTATGCATGTGAAATAATTCTGTCCCTCAGAGTGGCCTCTTTCTATAGAAGGCAAAGCTAGTTGTTTATTACAATAATGTTACTACTGTTAAGTATTCTGGATGTCCAATAACAACTTTGAATCCAGAGGTTATAAATCTCATTACTTGATATTCCAAATGTTTCATTATCTGAGACAAAAGTCTCATTAAGGTGGACTCTGAGTCACAGTGAACCCATGTACAAGAGAATGAAACCCAACCCAATCTGTCCCATTCTCAATCTCTGCTGTACTCAAGCCCACTGTTGAGTCAGTGTGTCAGTCCATCTCACTCAAAGTCTTTCCCTTTTTCGCTAACCCTTCACTTTTCCAAGCATGATGTCCTTCTCTAGGGACTGGCCTCCAATTAATAACATGACCAAAGGAAGTAAGATAGACGCTCACCATTTTTGCTGCTAAGGCACACTCTGACTGCACTTCCTCCAAGATAGATTTGTCTGTTTATCATAAGCATCTTTTTGTTCACTGGAAGTGTTCCCAAAGGACTACTAACTAATTTCTTTTTAATCCCACTGTAAATGACAAAATTTAGGCACCAAATTAATGATCCCTGAATTGGATGGATTTAAATATATTTAACTCATTTTACTCATACGGAACTTGCACATGAACCAAGAAGCAGTTATTCAAACAGAACAAAGGTTTAGATAGTTTAAAAGCAGAAAAGGTATACATCTGAGTTATATCCTTTCACTAAAACTATTCAATATGTACACTGGGCTAAAACACTGAGAAGCTGGACTATATGAAGAAGAACGTAGCGTTTGTACTGGAAGAAGGCACAACCTTGCTTGTTGAAAATGAAGAGAACTTGAAACACTGAAGAGGATCAAAGAGCACAGCTTTCAATATGTATTGCACACTTCAACATCAAGAAAAAAAAATCCCCACAACTGAACCAACAGACAACGTCACGATAATTGAGAAGATGTTCTCATCCTACTTGGATCTACAATCAACATCCATGGTAAAAGCACTTAAAAAAATCAAATAACCTATTGGACGGCAAAACTCTTCTATCAAAGACCTCTTCAAAGTACACACAAAAAAAGTTGTCAGTTTAAAAACTAAAGACTATGGCGCACTTGACTCAAATCATGAATGTATTTTCAATTGTTTAATTTGCATGAACAAACTGGAAATGAACAAGGAAGACTACAGAAGAAGTGATGCCTTTGAACTGTGGTGTTATCAGAGAATACAGAGTATCTAGTAGGCTGCCAAAAGAAGGAGACACACAGTGCTCCTTACAAGCAAGGAGAGTACACTGCCTCACGCACTCTGGGCATGTTATCAGGGGGCCCAGTACTTGGGGGAAAAAACCATGTTGGGAAAGCAGAGGTTCAGAAAAAGAGAAGCAGACTTTCAATGATATGAACTGACAACAATGACGGTTGATAGACATTGTGAAGATGGAACAGAATCAGTCAAGGTTTTGATCCACTGTCCATAAGGTCAATATGCGAGAGTCCACTCACCTAACAACAACAGTATTTCTAATGAATAAAGATGTTGTCAGAAATATCTACCATTGATCTCACAATTAATAGACATATATCAGAATATTCACCTAACTTGATAAAATTATTAAAAGTCATATAGTTCTTCAAAATTTTTAAGAAAGGGGAATTCTGATTCAAATTCTATTCACTTAGTGATCATTTAATAAACAATCTTAAATATAAAGAAAAACAGTAAGTCAGATTTAGAATTAACTCAAACACAGTAATTTGGCTTGTAACATCACAAGAGATCATTTTTATTCTGTGCCATCCAATAGGAAACAACTTATAGCTAACCCTCCGGTGTGTTTTCAGAGACAATAAAAAACACAGGAGGAGACTGCCCATCTCTCATGGAGTCAGAAACACTAAAGTAGTGAAAGGAATGGAGCCCTCTTACAGACAGACAAGCAGAAGCCCAATGATAGAATAACAAAAACAAGAGTTCAGAAAACCATTCCACATAGTTACACTGATTTGTTGAGAATATAATATTTTTCTAGCAGAGAAAATAATTCCTATTCATATTAAGGACTGTGCCTGATACAGTGTAATGTATTTATGAAAAGCAAAGTAACATTTTATATTATTTTTCAAAGCAATCAAAACTACATTCACACTTAAGAAGGTAGTTATCACATATTTAAAATTCAATCCCATCTAATTTCTTAATATTGTTGTTGCTGAATACCATCGAGTTGGAACCGACACTCCAGCAGGGGAGGAGACTGCCTATCTTTCTCCCACAGAGCACCTAGTGGAATCAATCCATGTACCCTTTGGTTGGCAGCATAATCCCTTATCATTAAGCCACCAAAGCTCCCTCCTTTCTTAATAGTTCTGGATAAATAGTGTCATTATGCATTCTTTATCTTCAAATATTTTACATTTCAAACATATGTCTTATAAAACATGATTTTCAAAGTACTAAAAAGCAAAGACATAAAATGAAAAGCTTTAATTTGCTCTTTAAAAGGCAATACCTGAGGAAATGGAATGTTATAATCCCTACAGAAACTTGATCCTTTTTTATGGGAACTTTCTGTACGTTCAACATCTGAAGCAAGGCTGTAGTCAGAACTGTCATCACTATATGGAGAATTGTGCTGAAAGGAATAAACAAATATATTACATTTACGAAAGGAAAACCATTTAACTAGGTAGGTAGATAAGCTTGTTTAGTCAAAAACTCCAACTAGTCCTTAATATCCTAGGGGACACTAGTGAGTTCTGATGACCTAGTGGGTAAGAAGAAGCACTGTCAACCCAGAGGCAGGTGGTTCAAACCCACCAGCTTCTCTGAGGGAGAAAGGTGGATAATCTCCTCCTATTAAGATTATAATGAGGAAGAGAGAATATTATACCACATTTTGCTGTTGTCGTTAGGTAGTTTCGAGTCTGATATGACTCATAGCAATCCTATGAACAACAGATGTGAGCCCTGCATATCATATATTCTACTGGGGCAATGGGGGTTGGTGTGTCGGAATTAGTGAGACTGGCTCAGGAAAGGGAAGGGCTCAGAGCTGCTGTACATAGGGTCGATATACATCACAAGCAACTCAATGGCATATAAAACCAGTAAGATACTATGACAGGTTTGGAAGCAGGGGTGGCATCCACTTCCTAAATAACATGCCTCCAGAAACCCATGAACTTTGATAAACGTCGATAGTTGTAGAGGGGCTTCAAGCCTTTTGTTCACAGGGTAACTATGAGTCATGCTCAACTCGAAGATAATCAACAACAACATTCATTACATTATGTATGTTGTTGTTGTGTGCCCATAAGTCAGAACCAACTCTCCAGTTGAGATGATGCCCAAGCTGACACTCCAGTGGGTTTTCAGAGCCAGTAAATCACAGGGGAGGAGACTGCCTATCCTTCTCCCCTCAGAGCAGCAGTGGATTTAAGCCACATGTCTTTGGGACTGCAGTGCAGCATACTACCACTATTAAAACTCAAACTCACTGCCACTGAGCCAGAATAGACTCACAGCTGACCCTGCAGTGAGTTTTGGAGGCTGTAAATCCTACAGGATGAGATGGCTCATTAGTATTTGATATTTAATACAATTTACCAAAACAAAGTAGATTCTAACTAACCTTGTGTTTCTCACGTTTTCGCCTTTTGGATTTTTTCTTTTCTCTCTCTTTCTTGTGCTTTTTCCTTGATTTTCTATATGCTTTCTCATTTTTCTGCTTTTCACCTTCTTTTGCTTTCTGTTCTTGAGTTTCTTCAAATCCTGCATCATCTATTTCTCCATCTTCTAATTCACCATCTTCTCTGTTGAAGACAAAGAAAATTTTCATTTTCAAATGTCAATTATTAAAATCTAACAGAAGAATTTTCAAAGTTAAAAAAACATATGCCAAAATATTAAGTTACATATATTTAGATCAGGGGTTGGTAATTTGTTTTTTTCCATAATGGTGTCTCTCTGGAGACTAAGGTGCTCCTGATACAGGCCATGGTTTTTGCAATCACTTGTTATGCATCAGAGAGTTGGACAAGGACTACGGAGGATAGAAGGAGAATTGACGCCTTTGAGCTGTGGTGCTGGAGAAGAGTACTGAATGTACCCATGGACTGCCAAGAAAACAAATAGATTCATCGTAGAGAGGATTAAACCAGGCTGCTCCTTGGAGGCAAGGATTCTGGGGCTTCGCCTGACATACTTTGGACATGTTGTAAGGAGAGACAGGTCTTTGGAGAGGGACATCATGCTGGGCAGAGTGGAGGGACAGTGCAGGAGGGGAAGACCCTTTATGAGGTGGATTGATTCAGTGACTGGGGTAATCGGGATGGGTGTGTCAGAGGCAATGAGACTGGCACAGGATAGAGCAGGGTTTAGGGCTGTTGTACACAGGGTCGCTATGAGTCGCAAACAACTCGACGGCACATAACAACAACAACATAATGAGCCAGATGATACATATTTTACATTTGGTTGGGGTTTTTTTTTACTTAATTTTAATGAAAGTTTACAGAGACTTAGGGTTTCCAGTCATTCATTGTTGTACTTTTCTCCCTGCCCACTCCCTCTCCCCCAATTCACTCTTCTCCTTGAAAAGCAAAAGAAGAACTTTCATTGTTATGCAGTCCCTCCCCGCCAAGTCCTCTCCTAGGGCCACTGTTGTAAAACAGAATTGACACTGGGGTTGAGAGAAGGCAGAGAAGGAGGGGGAAGAATGATGTATATGGCACTGAAACAGATGAGGGAGAGAACTGTTTAAAAGGGATATATGATTGGGTGTATTTTACATTTGTAAACCACAGGTAGCCACTGTTGAAAATTCTTGCTAGATCTGTGGAAAGTAACATTTTTCTTAAATTCTCAATAATCCTTGCATATACTATTTCATAAAGTATAAATATTTTTAATTGTCATCAAAGAGCAGGTAAGATTACTTTTAAAATTTTAAGACCACACAATTCTTATGTTTAGAAAATTTATTAATCACTTAAGTTAAAAACCTATTTCATATTTAAGAAAGTGGGCAGTAATTAGGGAGCTCCAGTGGCCTAGTGAGTGGTAAGAAACTGTGCTGCAATCCCAAAGGTGTTATCATTTGAATCCACCAGCTGTTTTGCAGTAGAAAGACAGTCAAACTCCTCCTGTGCAATTAACTGCCACTGAGAACTCACTAAAGGGTCAGCTATGTGTCAGCTCCAACTCAATGGTACACAACAATAACAATAGGCAATAATTAGCACTTTGTAATTTTTGGTAAAATTCAATGAATAAGGATGACTGAAGAAGAATGGATGCCTTTAAATTGTGGTGATGGAGAAGAGTAGTGAGTATCCCACCAGGTTGTTTCTTGGAGGCAAGGATGGTGAAACTTCATCTTACATACTTTGGGCATGTTGTCAGGAAAGCCCATCCTTCAAAAAAGACATCAGGCTGGGAAAGGGGGAGGTTTAGTGAAAGACAGGAAAACCCTCAACAAGATGAACAGATAGAGTGACTGCCACGTGATTTGTTCACATTGGAGATCGTAAGGATGCTGCAGCAGAGGACAAGGTTCCTATCTACCTTTCACAGGGTCACTATGAGTTGTAGTCAACTTGCTGACACATAACAGCAGCAACAACAATTATCAGTGTGTTATTTCATAGAATTTATCTAAAACTAAAAAGCAGATTCTGATTTAAAAAGTAGATCCTTTTTTACAACTCTTTAAAAATGTAATAACCATTCTCAGTAGCTAAAATTTGCCAACATTGTCTTAAAAAAATCACTAAATTTTCAACCTGGGAAGAATATATATAGTTAAGGACAATACCGCTATTGCAATTAGCAAAAAGGTACAAGATATATGCAACTATTCGAAAGGGAAAGGGGTGAAGTGGCACAAAAGAAGGGAGAAGAAATCACTAGAATAGCAGACTAGTGGATGGACAGGGGTGAAGGGATAGGTAAGATGAAGTGAGGACTTGATGAGGTAGGATGGTAACAGTCATAGATCAGTTATAATTATATAAAGCAGAATGTATAGAAACAACTGTGTAAAACAAAATGTACATGAGTGAAACGATGTATATGAATGACTGTATAAAACATAAGCTAATGGGAGCTCTGGTGGCCTAGTGGCAAGAATCTGCACTGCAATCCCAGAGGTACAAGGTTTGAATCCACCAGATGCTCTACTGGAGAAGGAGGGACAATCTCCTCCTGTACCAGTCAGATCTAATTTGACGGCACACACACACAAAATAATAAAATGAAAAAAAAAAAAAAAACAGAACAAAAAACATAAGGTAAATGGAAAAAGTGAAATAAAAATAAAATTGTTCATAATGTACATGAACAACTGTATGCAAACCAGCAAAAAAAATCACTGACTCTCACAAAATGAATGAATGGACTGAGATAGCAATGTTATTCCAAAGTATTTAAAAAGTTATCATCTACAAATGACCTTCAGCAGATAATATAAACTTATAATTAACTACAGAAAGTAATACTTAGTGGTCCACAGATGGCCCAAAAGTAACTTTTAAAACAAAACAAGACTAATACTATTAACAAAGTAAATGTCATTAAACATTTATATGTAACAAAATTCCAGTCACAATAGAAAAACAAACTGACAAGCTTGAATTGGTGAAAATATTAAAATAAAAACATAAATCTTATTTCACTGTGCTAATGTGAAACCTATACTTGGACCAAGAGGCAGTCGTGAGAACAGAGCAGGGAGATACTGGATGGTTCAAAATCAAGAAAGGGGTCCATCAGGGATGTATTTTGTCTCCATACCTTTTCAATCTGTATGCAGAACAGATCATCCGAGACACTGGGCTGTACGAGGAGGAATGTGGCATCAGGACTGGTGGAAGAATCATTAACAACCTGTGTTATGCAGATGATACAACCCTGCTTGCTGAAACTGAGGAGAACCTGAAGCGCTTGCTGCAAAAGGTCAAGGACTGCAATCTTCAATATGGATTGAAGCTCAACATCAAGAAAACAAAGATTCTCACCACTGGGCCAATTGGCAGCATCAATATGGATGGTGAAGAGATTGAGATAGTTAACAGTTTTCGTTTACTTGGTTCCACAGTTAATGCTCTTTGTAAGAGCAGCCAGGAAATCAAGAGATGAATTGCATTGGGAAAGTCAGCTGTGAGGGACCTCTCAAGAGTACCGAAGAGCAACAATGTCAGGCTGGAGACTAAAGTATCAGAGAGTTGGACAGTGAATAGGGATGACAGAAAGAGAATTGATGCCTTTGAGCTGTGGTACTGGAGAAGAGTGTTGAATATACCATAGACTGCTAGCAGAACAAACAGGTTTGTCATAGAGAGGGTGAATCCAGAATGTTCCTTGGAGTCAAGGATTCTGAAGCTTCGTCTGACATACTTTGGGCATGTTGCAAGGAGGGACTGGTCCTTGGAGAGGGACATCATGTTTGGGAGAGTGCAGGGACAGCGCAGGAGAGGAAGACCCTTGATGAGATGGATCGATTCTGTGAGTAGAGTGGTGGGAATGAGTGTGTCTGAGACGGCGAGGTTGGCACAGGATAGAATGGCGTTTAGGGGCTCTTGTACATAGGGTCACTATGAGTCGCAAGTGACTCGATGGCACATAACAACAATATTTTTACTATTATTGAGGCTGGGTTGAACTGTAGAAGCAAACACTACCAGTTGTAGAAGCCAAAATGCTGATACTATTTTATGCAAACTAAGAAGCCAAGTGACATACCTGGGAAAGTGAATATAAAATATTTAATTATGCTTTAATAAAACTATAGTTTGGACAAATACAAAATAATAGAGAGTACAGGTAGCAGAGGAAGACAAATGTCTATAATCTTGCCAGCCAATGAGAGACATCCAAACTATGGTGTATACATTTTTAAGATTTTTAAGATTTTAAAGTAACTTTCTAAACCTTTTATTGCCATTCAGTGGGAACCAACTCACAGCTGATCTTCTACTGGGTTTTTGTAGGCTGTAGATCTCCAGGATAGAAGTGCCCTTTTTCTCCGGGGGGGGGGGGGTCAGACTCAAAGGGACAAGAGACACCCCACCATTAGGATAGCAGCACAACTCCATATGTGGTAGGTAATCAGAGTTCCCTGTAACATTACTAACATTATTACTCACTGCTATTGAGGTAGTCAACTTACAGCTGAACCATCAGCAGTATTTCCGGTATTGCAGAGGAAAACCCTCTCAACTCTATAAATGGAACAGGAGGAGATTTTTGCTTTTCTGCCTCAGAGCTATGGGTGGATTTGAACCATCTCTCTTTCAGGAGTTCTAGTGGTTTAATGCTAAGATGTTTCACTACAATCACAAAGGCAAGCAGTTCAAATCTACTAGGCAATCCACAGGGGTAGGATGGGCAAACTCCTGTGTGATCTAGAGCCTTTGAAAACCCACTGGAGGGCCTTTACTGGCCTAACGAGTTGACCATGACAGATCTCTTTCAACATTTTAGTGAGCACTGGGTCTCCAGGTGACTCAATCTTTGCCTTGTTAACTTCCATTCACTGGCATCAGATATGACTCTCAGGAACCAGAACCAAAGGCCAAATTGTTTACTGCAAAAGGGTTCTTATACTTCATACCTGGCTAATTTCAATTCCATTTTTAGGACCTGGCTTAGATGTTACTTCTGCTAGGGTCTAGCAGAAATGTTCTATTACATGTATTCCCCATAACTAATTTATCTTATCATTGCATTTTACATACCCAGGTTGAGATGGATTGACTCAGTGACTGGAGAAATAGGATTAGGTCTGTCAGAAATGATGAAATTGGCTCAGGATAGGGCAGGTTTCAGAGCTACTGTACC